GGATTATATCAATGTTTTGGTGAGACTGTGCTGTCCAGGCAGTGCTCCTGGGCATGCTTGTATATTTTTATGTGAGCCATCATTGTAATGTTGGGGAGGCTACCGTTATTTTGTACGTTATCACTGTGTTGTGAGCAAAACACATGCCAATGTTAACTGGAATGTGGAACTGGTATACGTAAATAGAGGCAAATAGGTGAAAATACATTGTGATTATCTCTAGTTTGGCAGGAATTATTTCCATTATCTCAACAAAATACTTTATTTTCCCACTCGGTCCTCTAAAATAACACACCTCCCAGCTCCTAACAAGGAGATTAAACAACATTACTTTTTTTATCTCCAAGTGTCCTAATTTATAGCTTTCAGATATTATTAAGCTGTGCATTGGTTAGATGTAGAAGGAATGATGCACTTTCTCTATTGAGAGAAATCTGAGGCAATCTCAATGGTATGTTGAACTCCATGATGGAGAACTGGCAACTCTGTAATGTTATCCTCTGCACAAATGGACTGTGCTTAATGGTAGACTGTATAATATTTTTTCTTGCAGTACTGATGAGTACTGACTTGGCTGGCCAGGTGGCTACTTCTGTTGATTATATATTAATCGCAACTTCTGTTAATTATCTGTTGACTTGAGCTCCTTCTTATTTTCTGCATGGTGTTTTGTGGAGAGAATTTAATATTCCAGAGATCTTGAATCTGCTGTGCTGGCCTACAGGAACGTTTGGCATTTTAAATTTCTTTTAACAGTAGTGTTTAATATACACAGAGAGAATCTAGCTCTGAGAGGCCATTTGAGCATCTTCAAAGAGTTATTGAATTGTTTATTGATCTACTTCATTACTGCTGTTCCTCTGGTTCCTTTTGATGTCTTGTCACTTTGTTCAAAATATAATGTCAAAATTTTAAATTAATAGTTGTGCAGGAGGCTCTGCGTGTGTAAATATTAGGGCATGTTTTTCCTTTGAGTGAGAATGTGCTAGATTGTCCAGTAAATATTGCTGCCATCAGAGCTTTATCCTTTTCCATGCCCCTCCCTTTGCACAGAGACTCCTTCCTCTCTTCCTCTTAAGAAAACTGAAGTGTCTGAGGTTTTATAACAGTCTAATATCTTAGTCTGCCATTGGAAGCTTGCAGAATAGTTCCCTGCTTAGGAAAAATAAATTTGATTAATTTTCCTTCCTCCTGTTTAATCTTTTCCATGTGTCTCTCTTAAATTTGTTAAACTCATGAATTGAAAGTGCTTGCTGATTTTTTCCCTTTCATTGATTTATTTTAAAAATTTGTGAAGATTTTAAGCTTCTGTAATAGACATCATTCCCTGGCAAGGGATTCCATAGTTAATATATTAATTACTTGGAAAAGTCCTTAATTTTTAATCTCACCACCTGAGTATTTACTTGTGGATTTTAGTTATTTTTAAATAGTGGGTAATAATTATTTTTTTTTCTAAGCCATGCAGGATCTTATCCTGCAACAGTTGAAACTGTTGTTTCTGCAACTGTGATATCCTGCAACAGTTGCTTCTTTTTCCAGGATTAAGTTTACAGACTTTCTGCTAATTCCTTATACAGAAGTTGTTCCACATCTTTGGCCATTTTGGTAGCCTCTCAGTATCTCTTCTGTTTCTGGATTTTGCATTTGTCTTAGCCCAGCTCAGTACGTTGCTGATCTCCTACCCTTAGCGTGCACTGTCACCAACAGGAGGAGTTTGCCTTGATATCAGATTGAATTTTGTGCTCAATTAACACAGAAG